AAACGAATGCTATTGGGTGCTAAGAAAATGCGCGCAAAGAGAGTTATCACTGCACCCTGTGGCATCATAAGAAGTTAAGAGTACTTGTAAGCCAAATCAACACTCAATATTCCATATTTTTCTTGTAATAACGATAACATTGATCAAGTATTTTAAATCTGATTGTGTATTGAGAAAATAATACTGTCTATCTTCTCCTTTCTTTCAACCGTGAGATTAATTACATTCATGTGTATCACAGTTTTCTGCTTTGATTTAGCGTGAAAATAACGTTTCTAATAATATTTTTCTATAAGAAAATTATTTATATTTATAATTTATGGTGGTGTTTTCTCAGTGATGAGAACAATAGCATTTTTCAGTTCAATATAAATGTCACTAAGGAAAGCATTTCGGTATTAAGTTCAAAATGCATTTTTGTAAATAGGCCTTTTATCCAGTGTTAAACAAGAGTTAATCTCCAGAAAGGTTTTTAATTATTTTGAAATAATTTTATAAAAACATGATCTCAACAAATAAAAAATTATTAAAATAAAATGTTTACACAAGTTTGACAGCGAATAAAAACGCATAAGGTGTAGGCCTAACCCCTAGTTAATAGTTACACTACGTCATTTAAACCAATGTGTTCTTCAATGCCAGTGTTCTATAAAATTGTACCTTAATGCAAATCTAACAAATAACTTTTTTTTTTAAATTACAAGCAATAAATATCCCTGGCAATCTTTTTTAATTATTTTAAACGTATATATTATTATAAATGGATGAAATAACGTTATCTGTTTATTTAAAATTGTTATATTTATACATATTATGTTAAAAATGTAATCATAATATTCTCTTTAGTTATTAAAAGTGTATTAATCAAAATAATTTTTGGCGTATATATTTTCTTTATTTATTTATACAGTTAACACTTTAAGCGAATTACAATTTCGAAAAAAGACTTGTTAAAAATGTACAGATTAATATAATATTAAAGTGATTTAAAGATCAGTCAACCCCTTTATCGATTAAACATTACCAGAACTGGGTAAACACAGATGGGACCTCCTACCTGGAGCAAGTCTTTGCTGTTCTAACTTTAGGTCCAATAATCATATTTTCCCTTTCTTGCCCAACACACACGAGGCGGATAAAGTAAATATATGTTTCATTCGCTGGGACAGTGTGGTCAGCACTATACTTAGCCCTAGCCGCCTTTGTTTACATACCGTCAGGTACTCATCAGAGCTGGGTGGGCCCAGGACGTTCTACAGATACGAGCCCGGGATCCGAGACTTTCGTGTTAGCATTCGTTAGCTTTACCATTAGACCAGAGGCGTAGCGACCCTTCCCGGCGCCCGGGGACAAACTCTTCGATTTGCACCCCCCTCGAGATTTCGATTTGCACCCCCCCCCCTCAAACTTCCGATTTGCACCCCCCCCCCCCCCCTCGAGATTTTGATTTGCGCCCCCCTCAACCTTTCAACTTATTTTTCCAACCCATTTTGGCGCCCCCTAAGCTCGGCGCCCGGGGACATATGTCCCCCCCCCCGCCCCCCCCCCCCCGCCCCTCACTACGCTACTCCATTAGACCACGCCTTCCCTAACCATTTGTGCACGCAGTTACTTAAAATTACCTTGCAGGACAAATATCGATGTTTTTCGCTTGATTCCTGCAGATATGTAATAATGAATGAAGTACAAAATATACGTAATTTGTTTCGATCGTCTTTACTATATATAAAGCTGCAAATAAGATTATTATATTCTGAAATGAGGCTAGAGAAGCAGGAAAGGGACGTAACTAACTTGTAAGGACAAATAAGCACTAAAACTTAACTGGAACTTTCTTTAAAATATCGAATTTTAATTTGACGAACCGCGGTAAAAGCATTAATTACTAAGCAAGTACGCGGAAGCAAGCTAACTAAAAGCCAAAAGGTTATAAAAAGCATGTTATTATTTTTTTTAAATTTATTAGAAACATATTAGACTCTTTATTAATCAGTTTTAAAAAAGCTATTGAATTTTTTTTCATACAACACACTTTTCCTACACGGCTTAGCACCATGAAAGAAAGCAACTTTCATCAACTCAACACGAAGATAATATGTGTTGTATAAACTACAGTGGTGCTTCGGTTGCCATTTCTGTGTCCAGCTTTGTGTTGTATTTAAAAAGCAGGAAAATAATTTAAAAAAAAAACAATCATAGACAGTACAGACCTACAAGAATTAGAAACCAGAAAATAAAGGTATGATTTAAAATTAAATGAACCATAGAAAGTTTCGTACCGGCAGGACCAGGTACCCCAAGAGATTGTCATTAAAACATTCAGTTATTTCGACATCAAGGAATTGTGGAAAGTAGCGGCTGTGTTAGGTTTTGGCACACCACAGTTGGGGCGGAACTGTCTTTTAAAGCTATCGTGCTTGCAACAGTTTAAAATTAACGAAAATGCTTGCTCGTATGCCAAACTTTACGGAAGCCGATGCCGGAATTTAGTGATCAGCCGTGAGTACCGTTTTTACTACCACGCTTGCTGCGAAAAACTGGCCGTCTATTGAAAGATCCTTTTGCTAATTTTACAACCAACAGCGCTGTCGTCATTTAAAATAGATGACGAGCAGAGGCGTAGCGAGGGGGGGGAGGGGTGTGCGGGGGATGCGGACCGCACCGGGTGACACCATTTAGGGGGGTGACACCTAGGCAAAAAATAGCAAAATATATAGAGAAAAATGATAATTCCACTTAATTAAGTGATTAATTCGAGTGTGAAATAGTCTTTTACGAGGTGCAAATCGAACGTTTGAGAGGGGGGGGGGTACAAATCGAAAATTAAAAATTGTCCCCGGGAAGGGTCGCTACGCCTCTGGGGGGTGACACCAATAAGTGCCGCACCGGGTGACACCCGACCTCGCTACGCCACTGGTGACTCGAGGATAGTTTCCGGAAAGGAGTCGGGTGTTTCTAGCATTTTTTCTAATTCTGACCGTCTACTATGTTTCACAATGCCTTTTGCGAATTGGCCAATCAGTTTAGGCACCAAAGTCCTTAGAACAGTGATAGCAGCGTACAACAAAACTCTTCGGTCTCTAATGATTGACTGTTTTTTCCATTCATCTCTATCGATTATTGTCATAGAACCTGTAAATTTTGATGATGTGACCAACGGCATCCTTTCTCTTAAAAATTTGAAAAAGCTGGCGATCGATTACTTTGTTCTGACCGATGATTTTGTCAATGCTTTTTCTACTTCATGTTCAAAGTTAAACATGGTGAGGGGTGGAAGCAGGCGTTGTGACTGAAATAGCAATGTAAACAGAAAGTGTTATTTCAACGCCAAGGGTAGACAAAGGTACAGAATATAGTCCAAGTTAAGACAGAACAGACAGACCCGACGGGTTCCGAACCTACCACTCCTCACGGCACCGAATCGCCTCGCCTTCCATGCATCAAGTCAGACGTGTAACCGATTCTGCCAATCAGCTCTACAAAAATAAAGCTTTCATGGCAGAGCACAATCACAACCTATGCACGAAAGACGCGGGCTGGCGTGACCTTTGAACCGCGAATGGGACTGACCGTTAGCCTCAAACACAACAAGGACCATTATTCGACCACACAGGCGACACAAGTATAAAGACGACGATACAGACAAATAGTAGCTTCCTTAAATGGGTATAGTGTAAACATGGTGAGGGGTGGAAGCAGGCGTTGTGACTGAAATAGCAATGTAAACAGAAAGTGTTATTTCAACGCCAAGATTGTTAATTAGAGTCGATTAAAAACCTGATGCTCTCAACCCAAAATATCGGTTGTGCTGTATCATATCTCCACCTACGTCAGGTTGGTGATAATCTTAGTGGTGTGCGATTAATTTGTCAATAAACAAACTGCGTGAAATAACACGAGAGAAAATAAGCCAAAGGCGTAAGTTTTTGTTTAAATTAAACTAATAAATTCGCTGAAACTAATTTACAAGAGTTGATTACTCTCAGTTTTTACGCCTTGCCTTTACTCTCTGATAAGTTGCCCACATGTTATTTGCATCCCTCCCCAAATTCTATTAAACCTAGTTCCGTTTCGGTAAAATTTCGTACCTTTTAAAGATCTAAATTTCCGTATCCGGCTAAATTTACGGATCCAGTAAAAGTGGCGATCCAGGATAAATTATTGTTTCCAATGAAATTGCGTATCCTGTAAAATTTTAATATCTGCGAGAATTTCCGTATCCATCCGATAATATTTCCTGATCCGGTTCAAATACCCAGTTAAACTTTACGTATCCGGCTAAATTTCCGGATCCTGTTAAACTGCCGATTCTGGATAAATATCATTTTCAAAGACTTTTTTCGTTGCCGGTAAAATTTAATGTTGAGGTGGGGATTTTGGTTTTGATTTCCGTTTAGAGAAATAGACAACACAATCAACCGAGCTCCGGGTGTATTTCTCAGTCAACAGGTTATTTATCTATATATATATGATTCTCTTCTAGTATCAGTTAGAAAACAAGCTGCAAGCGCGCCTTTGCAGTCCCCTCTCTTTCTCTCTATCACTATCACTACCACCCCCACCCCACCCCCACATTGTCTGGTGAGCTGTGGTCACGCTGTTTACATTTTACAATCATAGAGACGGGTTTGGTGACGGCTTTTAGGGGCAGATAATTTAGTTTGAAACGATTTTAAACTTAGAGGAGGTAACTAAGAGGAGGCTGCTTTCACGTGGGGGGGGGGAGGGGGTTTAGTGTTTTTAAGCAAATATTTTCAGTGGCAGCATTGGTACTGTCGAATTCACAAATTATAAATTACTGAAAAGTAGAAAAAAAACAACTAAATAGCGGCGTATGATACGCAGCGGGTCGGCTCGTAGAGTTATAATACGTTTTAGAAAAAAACTAACATTTAATCTTTCTAGTGCTTGATGAAAAGCAGCTTTTAAAAAATGTTCACACCACACATCTTATTGCACGGGATTGCACCATGTAGATCTAATAGATTATAGACGGAAGCAATTTTATAAGGGTTCATAAAATCAACAATAACATAAGCTGCATCGTTTGAAAACTGCTCCGACCGCCTTTTTTTTGTATTTATTTTAACTAAAATTTAAAAATGAACAGGGTAAGAAAGACTACTGTAACGAGCACAGTCCTTTTGGCATTGGATCAGACCAAAGAGAAGTATGTAATGTTAAACAAACCATCAAATGTGCCGTATCTGACGAGCCTGATACCTCAAGAAATTCTTATAAAAATCTTTAGCTATTTTGACCTTAAAGACTTGGTGAAACTAGCTGGTGTGTGTAAGTCTTGGCGCGACTTAATCCACGGCACACCACAATTTTGGTGGAACGCCCACCTAAAACTTTCATGTAAAAAACAGTCCAAGCTAAGACAAAACTCTTACTTGTTCGCCAAACTTTACGGAAGTCGGTGCCGGAATTTGGTGATCAGTTGCGAGCACCGGTTCCACTATCTCGGCTGCTGTCGGACAATGATCGTCTATTTAAGAAAGTTATTACTCCTTTTACATCCGCCAAATTTGACGTCATTGAAAATATCTGACGCACGGATAGGTTGCGAAAGAGAGTCCGTTATGTCAAGCATCCTTCAAATTCTGACACGAATGCTGTCCAGATTTGACCGTCTAGAATGTTTCGCGATGCCGTTTGCGAAATGGCAAGTCCTCGAAGGCACCAAAGTCTTTGACGCCGTGATATCCGCGTCTAAGGAAACACTTCAGATTCTAATGATTGAAGGCTTTTTCCATATACTTAGAGAGCTTATAGTCGGCATACCTGTAGATTTTGATGCTGTGACCAACAACATACTTTCTTTAAAAAATTTGAAAAAGCTGGGGATCGACTACTTTGTTCTGACAGATGATTTTGTTAATGCGCTGTCTACTTCCTGTATAAAGTTAAAAACATTGAGAATATGTGTGCCTTTTTGTGGTGTTGATACAAAAATCATCACTCAAAGCTGTTGGGTTAATTTGGTAAGTAAATCATGTTAATTTCAACTGAAGTACTTAAATATAGTTTCTAACAGTTAAGAAGCGTGTAATGCAGGACATTGCTTATGTTTGTGATCAAGATAAAATAAACTCAGAGCACATAATCATCCCCCTCCCTCCCGTTCTCACACCTCTGGTGTCCTCTATCTAGGCCAATTCTATGAAATTACTCCTTGTCCATCTGTTCATTACCTCTAGATTAATTACCCACTATCAACTACCCGCATCATGTTTCCTCATCGTCATTATAACCCCCAACCCCTTCTTCGCTTAAAATCACTTTCTATACATTTTTACAACAAAAAAAACAAGGATTTCATAGAAGTTCAATAGAAATAAAATTATATACTTTGCCCAGACTTTCTAGAAATTGTCAAGCAAGGGAACAGGAACGTTTGGGATAAGCTTATTCAACACACAATATGTCCAAAACATATCTCAAAACCTAGCCGTAATTTTAATGAACTCAGAAGTTAGCATTTCTGTTAATGTTTCTAGATACAGAACATTCGAAATATCAGATAAATCCATTAACATTTGCTGCTTTGTGAATGTTAAAAAATCAGTTTGTTTCAATCAGAAATTATTTCTTTTAAAATGAGTCGTTACATTGTAGTTTTCCAGTTGTCGTATTAACAAACAAATTTACCCCCCCCCCCCCCCCCTCACATACCCAGTTGGGCAAGGGCCATGGAGTATTAATTTGTTTTCTGTGGGTATTATTTTAAGTATTTTAGGTATTTTAAAGTCTTTCCTAAATCATGTCTGGTTATTTCATGACAAATCGATGTGTGACACAAGTGTTTTCATATGGCGACTGAGTTATATAAAGACTGTGTGCTCTTTAATTTAAATTACAAGTCTCAGTTTCAAGTAACAGGGCACCCCTGATTCTATTCTATTCTTCCTGGTGAAGCGGGGAAACGAAAATGAACCTAAAATTATACGTTTTTATAGTAACCTTAAATCAGACTAAGTCGACGTAAAGTTAGAAGGAGAATTTTTTTGAATATTTTATGCTTTATTAAATTTAAGTCAAACTTTTAAATTCTTCTCTTTTAAATCAACAGGTAAAAGATTTTCCAACGATGACAGTTGAGTTATCATTTGCTGGCCTTTTTGAAGACCCTACTGTGTCCATTCCTGCTGTTTTGGATCCAGTTTTACCCATCAACAAGATCCGGTTGGACTTGCGAGACGGTTACAACCGCCATACCGAACCGAATATTGGGGCTGTGCTGCTACATATCTCGACCCACTTCAGGTTGGTGAATCTTTAGTGGTGTGTGATTTTTCTGGGTGTTAAAGAGATAATAACACAATAACACATTCACATGAATCAATGGGCAATACAGATAATAGTCACTGTAAGGCGTTTTAAAAAATCGAATAAATCAAAAATATTGAAACAAATTCGCACGAATTACTAATTAAACCGTGTTGTCTACAGTCGTTGTCTGGTCAAATTTGAGATGGACATAGATAATTTCGACAACCCGATTGACGGAGCCTTAGAGATATTAGTCAGGAATTGTCAACGTCTTCTACATCTAAAGGTAAAGATGTATGTAACATTTGAAACTGTGTATCACAAGTTTCTTCTTCCACTTCGTTCTTAATTTTAGTGTTGGAAGCGATCCCCTCCAACACATTTTAAGGATACAACTAAACTGGTTTAGCGCCATTGAGTCCATTGACTCCGATTTCAGCCTGCTTTTCTATTTGGATTTGCTTACATAGCCTTTGACCAACCAAGAACAAACTACAATGCATCAGTTGTTTTTTTTTATTTTGAAGTTGTATCTCCTAGAAGAGTGGCTGTCCTCAGCTAACGAGCCTCATCTACCCGAGTGTTCGAACTCGAGCCCTTTCGGTTTAGTAACCATGAGCTTTACCGACTCGACCACATCGACAAGTTTAAAACCACACAAAAAGTTTTCATAAGATAAGCGTCACTCTACAATACTAAGACCACAGGAAAGACAAGCAACAACCAAAATGAATTTAATATAATTATTTAAAATAGATGTATACCACAAAAAAAAACATAGTCCACAACTGAAAAATAGATTACAACAAAAAAATTACCAACATAAAATATAGTGACCCCTAAAATGATAAAAAAAGATAGAACAACTCCATGTATACGTAGGCCTATCCCCTATAAAGACAACGACCACAACAAAATGGGGTCTAACCCAATATATATATATATATATATATATATATATATATATATATATATATATATATTGTCTATGATATCATTTATCCTGATAAAGTTTGTCCTGAGATCATTTGTGCATGAGATATTTTGTCTGGGACATTTTGTCTGAGATCATTTGTCCTTAGATCATATTTCATTTATATATATATATATATATATATATATATATATATATATATATATATATATATATATATATATATATATATATGTATATGTATATATATATATATATATATATATATGAAACAAGGTAAGGCAGGTAAAAAAATATTGAGTCTGCTATATAAAAGCTAGTTAACTACATAAAAAAGTTATCACCACAATATATAGGGACCCCCATAAAATATAAGGATCACCACAAAACAAAGAGACAACAAATAACATAACGCCACTCACTATATTTCAGGCCTCGGCTCACTTTGCTAGTCCACATACACGACAGAGAGTTCTGGACCTGATACAAGCCAGAAGGCAAAGGCTCATAGAATGTAAACATCTAGAGATATCCAACAAGCGACGAAAATTAAACCCGCCCGACGGCCCAGGTTCGAGTACCGCCACTAGAGAGAGTTAGGGATCTAAGTGCAAGATAAGGTCGGAGTAAGATAACACTGTCCATGGGTCAGTCTATCTCCACGGAAACAATGCCATCTATTATAGGAAGCATTTATAATGTTTACCATCTGTAATCAGCTACCATCATAAAATATTTAATTGAAATGATTGTTTTCAGCTATTTAAATTGTTGAATAAAAGAGTCTACAGTATGAAAACAAATAAAAATTACTAATGACAAAAAAAAAAGGATTTGTTTGGTGGACATTTTTCTCCTCAAACCTTATTGATAATGTTTTTATTGTGAAATGGAAGACAGAAAACGAAACTAATTATTCATATTTTATACGTTTATTTGAAATCTACAAGTTAAAAAAAATATTCGGTTTGGGTCTGACCGAATGGGATGGAATGTAAAGACGGCTGGGCGTAATGCTGACTATATTGTCGCTTTATGTTAAGGTCAGATAAACAGGTGCACTCTACTTCACTTGCCACAAGGACCGTTCGAAAAAGGACTTATTTACTTTATTTAGGTCACTATGTTATTTGTTAAAGTAAGAGTATGCAACTCAATTTTGACCGATTTCTAAAAGAATAGAATACATTGCAAACTTTATAGGTTAGCGGATCTTTGATCAACAAACACAAAGAATCTTTTTTGAGTCAATTAAATATCACATTTTTTAAATTTAAATTTATTAATATAATCAATAGTTAAATTGAGACAACCAGTAGCGTAGGCAGAGGGGGGGGGGGGGGTTTGGGGGGTCATAACCCCCCATAGATCCCTCGGTATATATATATATATATATATATATAGGCCTATATATATATATATATATATATATATATATATATATATATATATATATATATATTTAAAGTATGAGGGGGTGCAAATCGAAAGTTTGAGGGGGGGGGGGGGTGAAAATAGAAAGTTTGTCCCGGGTAAAAATTGGAAACCCCCCTCCCCCCTGAGACGATCCTGGCTACGCCACTGGATACAACCAAGTAGTAACGTTTAACGGATTATTTTCTGAGAATGTGTGTAATTGGGCATTCGTGTCACATTGTAACTGCTTGCAATGGGATGAACTTGTGACATTTTTCATAAACACTTTACGTTTTACGTCTCAAACATTGCATTTACTGATTGTGTAGTGATTTTTATCTAACGACAAGTGTGGTGTCTTAATATAACGATTTTCTCAACCGTCTAGTATGACAAGGAACGGCTACCCCCTCAAGTCAAATTTTCAGTCATGTTTACATTGATCATCAGACTGAACATTTGAGCCTACATACAATTCCAGGTACTGAACGCAGTATTTCTAAAGTGTACTAAATCGCACTTGGAATTTTCGTATGATTTATTAGTTGTATGCTTATACTGTCCTGACGTTCATCTCACACCGATACTTCTGTTCGTCCAGTGTTATGACTTATCAGCTGATTGGTTTGAGTTTCCTAGAAATTCAATGCAATTGGTTGTATGGATAGCTAACGTAGTTTCTTATAAAAATAGTTGTTTCATTGTGTATCAGAATCAAAAGTGTATTGCAATATAAATTATATGTCAGGAGTCATAACTTAGTTGGTCCCTCGTGGTAAGAAGCTGGTCTTTAGCGCAGAGGCGTAGCAAGGGGGGGGGTACATATGTCCCCGGGCGCCGACCTTAGGGGGGGGGGGGGGCGCCAAAATGGGTTTGAAAAACAAATTGAAAGTTTGAGGGGGGTGTGCACATCAAAAGTTCGGAGCGGGGGAGGGGGGTGGAAATCGAAAGTTTACGGGGGGGTTGGGGGGTGCAAATCGAAAGTTTGTCCCCGGGCGTCGGGAAGGGTCGCTACGCCTCTTTTTTGACGGTAAGAAGTTGGTCCTCGGTGGTAAGAAGTTGGTCCTTGGTGGTAAATGTATAAATGTGTTTGTGTGTGTGTGGGTGTTATAGTTTATCTCATCATACATTGTAAAAAAAGAATTATTTATTTTCTTCTTTTTACAAGCTTTTATTTAACTTGCTTCCTATGTCTGGCTATCTCTCTTTTGTGTTTTTGTCTTCCGTCATGGATCAAAACTGTCAAGCGAAATTTCGATCACTTCTTACTGACCAATTAGTATCACGTGAGTCAAGAACCGATGACAATGCAATCTGACATCAAATTCCACTTTATTCGATGCCTAATTATTTTTTTATGAATTGACTAAAGTTTCCTGTAAAATGTAGACCTACTATTGACCGCGCTAGTAAACGCGCACTTTTCATGTTTGTTTGGTTTTAGACATGCAACTCTATTGAATTAAAAATTTTAAAGTACTGAAAAAAATGCACAAAAACTGTTTTAATAATAAGCTTTTATATAATTATAAGGAAAAAATGCATTTCTTTATCAATATATAATATTACACTACTATTTAAATAACTGGTATTTAAATAGTAGTAAATTATTATATTATTCTATATTTAAAGAAAATCATTTTATTTTCTTCTTTTTTTAGTGCAGGTTTTTATTGATTTATAAGAAACCTTTTTTTTTTCAATTTAATAGACACCAGTGAGTTGACGAAAATCCTTCCGTAATGTTGTTGACATGAAATAAAAATGTGCTTTTTTAGATTTAGGACCATAAAAATAATAAAAGATAAAATTTTATTAAAAACTTAAGCCTAAAATTAATTCAGAAATTTAATATTTTTTTAATCAATGCTATACAAAATGCAGATCCAGAGAACTTGAAAATAATGTGTTAAGTTTAAGGCTACATTTCTATTTATTTTCATCAAGCCTAAGTTATAACCCGATGTTTCACTTTCGTAAGACAAACATTGATTGGCTGTACAGGAACTCCGTGATCGATTTCTGACAGCCCCACTTTATAGTTTTTTTGTTTACAAAACTTTGCAGATCAAGTTTTTAAATAACAATGCAAATTTAAACATCAAAACCTAGTATTTCTATTTTTAGCTTACAATGTGTACAATAAAATTTATGGCGGCCTATCAAATAGCAGGATTCCATTGTTTATGTCGCCATTAGACGTGTAAACCAAATTGTTTTTGCTTTTTTTTTATTTAGTTACCGAAAATATTAAAAACATCAAATACATCCAATCTTTAGTTAAGTCCGAAAAAAACCAGACAGACAGGATTTCATAACCATATTAATTGTAACTACGCCGTGCAAGATTTTTAAATTAATTTATGTACCTCTCAAACACCTTTGAGACTTTTCTCGCTGGTGTCCATTAAATTAGTTTGCAAGCTTTAGTAAAAAAAAAAAGTTTTTTACCAACACACCGTTCAGCACGGGTGTGCATAGTGCAGTCGAAGGAAGCACGTTTGTAAGTGTTCTTTACATCAACAAAACAAGTGGTGTTAGTAAAAAAAACTGGTTTCACCTTATTATACTCATTGCACTTTAAATTTCTTTTTAAAATCATGAGCAATTCAGAAAAAAACGTAATATCAAGCACTGTTCTGTTGGAACCGAGAAAAGAAACCGAAAATAAACATCTATACGAACCTTCAAAGGTCTCGTATCTGCAGGATCAGGTACCACAAGAGATTGTCATTAAAATCTTCAGCTATTTTGACATCAAGGAATTGGTGAAACTAGCGGCTGTGTGTAGGTCTTGGCGAGATTTGATCCACGGCACGCCTCGGTTTTGGTGGAAAGCCTACCTGACGCTCCCTTGTTGGCGACAACGGAAGCTTAGAAAAAACGTTTACTCGTACGCTGCGTTGTACGGAAACCGATGCCGGGATTTAGTAATCAGCTGCGAACACCGTTACGTAAATGTCGCCTGCTGTGAAAAACTAGCCATATATTTGCGGAACCTATTGCATCTTTTACATCCGACAACTTTGACGTCATTTAAAATAAATGACGCGCGGTTGGTTTGCGGAAAACCTTCCGTTAGGTCCAGTGTCATTAAAATTCTGATAGGCATGCTGTCCAGATTTGACCGTCTACAATGTTTCGCGATGCCTTTTGCGAAATTTTTTTACACGGAAGGCATTAAGGTGCTCAAAACAGTAACTTCAGCGTCCAAAGAAACTCTGCAATCGTTACTAATTGAAGGCTTTTTCCATACACCTAACGAAATAATTATGGAAGAACCTGTAAGTTTTGATGACGTGACCAAAGGCATCCTCTCTCTCAACAACTTGAAAAAGCTGGGGATCGACTTCTTTGTTCTGACAGATGATTTCGTCAATGCGCTGTGTACCTCAAGTGCTAAGTTAGAAAAATTGAAAATTAATTCAAGCTACATCACATTTTCTACAAAGAATATATCGCAAATATCGTGGTTAAATTTGGTAAGCAAATCTCTCTATTATCCAGGACATAATTAAAGTATTTACGGTAGTTTGTGATTAAGATAAAATACTTCTACCACAGACTCACTATACCCGTTTTATTAAGTTACACCTAGTCAGTTAACCCCCTTGATCCGTTAATTTACCCCAGGCATCAGCCAACTCAGTTTGATCTAATCCCCCACCCCCTCTCGCCCCATACATTCCCCGCTCGAGATACTATATACAGCAAAGTGGAAAACCAGGGTTCTATAGAAGGTCTAAATGGACCGTACGTATTTTGCCTAGACTTTCTAGAAGTTGTCATGCCAGGAAACTAGAAAATGTGCGGCAAGCTTGATCAATCCAGAATACGCCCTTATGTATTTTTAATCAAAACCCTAGCCCTAGTCTTAGATCTAGCCCTAACCCTAGCCTTTGAACAAGATCTATTCTAACTCTTTATTTTTGTCTAACTTATGTGTTAATTATATTGCTATGTTAAGGAAGTTGGAGAGGTAATATCCTACTGTTGTTAAAGGACACGGGTACAATATAATGGTAGTTGGCATTACAATAATGAAGCAGAATATGAAACATTAGGTGAAGTATGATGTGGTAGTAAACAAAATGTCTGGCCTAGGGACGGCATGGTCGGGTAGGAGCGCGTATGAAAGCTAAAAGTCCACCGTTTGGATCCCTGGCAGACGTGATCTTGTTAGCTGGTGAAAGCAAACAATCAATGAAAGATTGATAAAATCAAACAACCGCTGCCTTGCAGGTTGTTATTATGTTTACCTAAACTATAGATGGAGAGCTAGAAATTAAGTCAGACTGGAATTGCAGTCAGTAAAAAATAGCAATACATGTTCACGCGTGATACTTTATTGTTGTAGAGAAAATCCCTTTCACTATTACTATTAAGAACAAACATAAAAAACCCAAAAAAGCCGATATTTTCAACAGTGCCATACTTTGATGATTGCTGGAAATGATCGTCTGCTCGTGTTTACCCCATGTAGTTCCTCATATAAGTGAGATAGACATTTACATATTCATTGTGACATACTCAAAATACTGACACAACTGTGTAGTTTTGATGAAGCGTCTAATAATCTGGCTTTAATGCATGCATCAGAGAAAAGTCGTAGTGTATTTGCGTACCCTATACATAATCACAACACACGTCCGTCCATATAGGCCGAGAGACAGAAGGCTACATGACTCGTTCGCACACAAAAGGTATAAAACTACACAACCACGGCTACAATATCATTATTATAGGAATAATTCGAAATTAATGAAGACCTTATGAAATAATACACAATATAATCTAGGGATCCTTTCTTTTTTTTAAAGAATTACTAAACGTTCGGTGGTCTTACAACTGGACACTCAACAACGCGAGTTTGATGGTCTTAAAGCTGAACACAAAGCGAGTTCGTTTCTAGGATTGAGTCTGACCGCTAAGCTTATCCTTAAGCTGAGAATAAACGCCCCTCCTCCTTATTTCTTTTTCTATAGCATTTTCACTATGGGCATATATATTGAAGTAAATTTTAATTGATTGCATTTCTGCGAATTCTCATTCACAGCATTTGGTATGCATCTGATGAATCATCCGAATTAAGAAATCAATACTATTACATTTAAAGAAAAACTTTTTTTTTATTTTCAATGGTACATTTAAGTTTCGTCAGTGTTAAAATGAGCCTTTGCTTTTAAACAATTGAATTCTCCACCCTCTTAGAGTTTAGTACCGAATGTTGGGAAAACCGAATTCCGGGGAAATTTATAAGTAGCCTATTAGGTCTCTGTGGCAATTCGCATAAATCTTTTCGGTACTTAAACGAGGAAGCGGTGTGGAACAACTTTTTTCATGTCAGAGCGAGGATAACTTGCTGGCACTTATAGACGAGTTGTGTGGACGTTGCCACTAACTTGCATATGGGCTTTGTGGGCAAAGCTAGTCTGTCGTATATGAGCCATGTGTGTTTTTAGGTTAAATTACATATGAAAGATAGAATGAATCGGACTATATGCTATTTCAATTTTGGAGGGAAGAAATTCAACAACAAATTTGACTGTGCGTTTGTATAATATCCCCAAGCATGACTAAGTGGACGAGAAAGTTTTGATGTATTTTATATGTATTTCCTTTTTAATTAAAAAACATTTCTTCTATTTAACATCAACAGACCAAAGCATTTCCAAAAATGAAGGTTGAGATTTCTATTACTAGTATAGTTGAGTTCCCAACTATTTCCATCCCCGTTGTATTGGAACCAGTGTTACCCATCAGCAAGATCCGGTTGGACATTCGAAAAAATTACCACCCCAATGATGAACCGAATATTGGGGCTGTGCTGCGACATATCTCGACCCACTTCAGGTTGGTGAATATTTAGGTATTAAAGCGAACAGGTGACAAATTCTTGAGAAATAAGAAGCGTTGAATTTCAAAAGAAAAAAAATTAAAAAATAAAATAGACAGAGACACTTAAACAAAAAAGAAATCTGCAACAAAAATGTATTATCTACAGTCGAAGTCTGGTTAAATTTGAGATGGACATAGATAATCGCGACCACCCGATTGACGAAGTCTTAAAGATATTTGTCCAGAGCTGTCCACATCTGCTGCATCTAACGGTGAGACGTCTGTAAGATTTAGAACACATTTTCAAAACCTTAACACCAGGCTAAAAGTTTTCTTCCCAAAGGTAGTCAACACGCTACAAGACTAAAACCACACGAAAGATAAACAACATACAAAAAATAGATATTACAAAAAAACTATGTATTCCATTAAAATAGAGGCCATCACGTAATACAAAGATTAGCTAGATGCAACATAAAGAGAATGAACTAAAACAAATTTAGACTGGTACAAAAGTAGTACACGCTACTTAAAGAGAGCACTACAAATATATGTACAAAATAAGGAGCACCACAAAAACAAGGAGCACTACAAAAACAGGCAGCACTACAAAAATAGGTAGCAGTACAAAAATAGGTAGCACTACAAAAATAGGTAGCACTACAAAAATAGGTAGCACTACAAAAATAGGTAGCACTACAAAAACAAGGAGCACTACAAAAATAGGTAGCACTACAAAAATAGGTAGCACTACAAAAATAGGTAGCACTACAAAAATAGGTAGCACTACAAAAATAGGTAGCACTACAAAAACAAGGAGCACTACAAAAATAGGTAGCACTACAAAAATAGGCAGCACTACAAAAATAGGTAGCACTACAAAAATAGGTAGCACTACAAAAACAAGGAGCACTACAAAAATAGGTAGCACTACAAAAATACGTAGCACTACAAAAATAGGTAGCACTACAAAAATAGGTAGCACTACAAAAACAAGGAGCACTACAAAAATAGGTAGCACTACAAAAATAGGTAGCACTACAAAAATAGGTAGCACTACAAAAATAGGTAGCACTACAAAAACAAGGAGCACTACAAAAATAGGTAGCACTACAAAAATAGGCAGCACTACAAAAATAGGTAGCACTACAAAAATAGGTAGCACTACAAAAACAAGGAGCACTACAAAAATAGGTAGCACTACAAAAATACGTAGCACTACAAAAATAGGTAGCACTACAAAAATAGGTAGCACTACAAAAACAAGGAGCACTACAAAAAAAGGTAGCACTACAAAAATAGGTAGCACTACAAAAATAGGTAGCACTACAAAAATAGGTAGCACTACAAAAACAAGGAGCACTACAAAAATAGGTAGCACTACAAAAATAGGTAGCACTACAAAAATAGGTAGCACTACAAAAACAAGGAGCACTACAAAAATAGGTAGCACTACAAAAATAGGCAGCACTACAAAAATAGGTAGCACTACAAAAATAGGTAGCACTACAAAAACAAGGAGCACTACAAAAATAGGTAGCACTACAAAAATAGGTAGCACTACAAAAATAGGTAGCACTACAAAAATACGTAGCACTACAAAAACAAGGAGCACTACAAAAATAGGGAGCACTACGAAAATAGCTAGCACTACAAAAATAGGCAGCACTACAAAAATAGGCAGCACTACAAAAACAAGGAGCACAACAAAAATAGGGAGCACTACAAAAATACGTAGCACTACAAAAATACATAGCACTACAAAAATAGGCAGCACTACAAAAACAGGGAGCACTACAATAATTGGAAACACCACAAAAATGAAGCACTACAGAACATAACACCACTCCCATAATTCCAGGTCTCGGCTCACTTTGCAAGTCCACATACGCAGCAACATGTTCTGGACCTGATACAAGCCAGAAGACTACAACAGTGCAAATATCCACGCAAGCCCCGGTCCCAGATTCGAGAACCCCCACAGGTTAGGTCCTTCAGTGAGAGTCCAGATTAGAGGCCAAGTCTAGTGAACTAACACTGTCAATATGTTGGCCTAGACACCCGGAGAAAAAATATAATTTATGTTTAAAATATGTTAACCAGCAGTAATAACTTTCCATCATGAAATACTTAAGGGAAAAGATTATTTCCATCTACTTACTTATCGTTTGTGTCAACTAATACGATGTACATAAGTAATTGACAAATAATAAAAATACAGCAAGTATAAACATCGACAAAATAAATGATTTTAAAAATTCGTGAATTTGTTTGTTTGTTTTTTAAATTATAAACTTGGAAGACGAAACAAAAAGGAATGTTAAGTTTTTTCACACAAAAAAATATTCAAATTGGATTAGAATGAAATCGGGTGGTAATTCGATAAAACTTCAATAGATCCCTATGGTGTGTGTTACGTTGTGAGTGCGCGGACTAATTCTTAAATTTAATAATGACACATGTCGAATATCGGTCGGCGTGGTCGAGTCGTTAAAACTCATAGTTGCTATAACCGAAAAGTCTCGAGTTCGAACTCTCGGGCAGATGAGGCTCGTCAGCATGGGACAGCCTCTTCTAGGAGAGACAACTCCAATATCAAATAAATACTGCCTTGTAGTTTGTTCTTGGTTGGACAAAGGCTATGGAAGCAAATCAAAAAAGAAAAGCAGGCTGAAATCGGAGTCAATGTCCTCAATGGCCTCATTGGCGCATAACAAGTTGACACGTATGCTTAATTTTGTTGGGATCACTTCCAACACTAAAATTAAGAACGAAGAAGAAGAAGAATGGAGCGATTATTTGCAATGTTTTCAGATTAATGCATAAGCAACAATAAAAGGGAGACGATAACAATAACGAACACAAGATTAGTCAGTAGAGTTACTGTTTTTAAACGTTGATTACAAAGAAATGAAACAAACAACGGTCGCTAATAATCGGTATATATTTGTATTTTAGAGTTCTACTAATGCAAGCAATTATTTACTAGATTTCTACTTACGAATTTCCATTCAACATTTAGGCGATTGTTGAAAGCAGTAATTTTACTATATATTTTTTTATTCGTTTACATTTTTATTTGACAAATGTATGACGTTGATTTTGTAAGTAAAAAAATGTGTACGCACTAATATATTATAGCCTATATACCGACATATGAGAGACCTGTACAGGACGGCAGATGGTATTTGCAACTACTATATGGAACTAGAATGCTGATTAATGCTAGCCTTTCAAGAAGATAACCGTCACTTAAAACTACCCCGACATGTTCCCAGCCTGTAGACACATGAAATACGATCGTTTTTTGCTTCCTCCCTCAGTGACAGTGTTTCTTGCACACTTTTTTCTCAGATTTGGGGGGGGGGGGGGGGCTTTAAATTTTTTTCGATATAAATTCTTTGTTCGGGGGGCGGGGGCTAAAAACGTCTACCGCCCCGAAGAGATGCCTGAAAGAAACCCTGCTCAGTGCATAGCCCCACCTGATTCCGGTGAGAGTGACAGTTTGTTCATGAGACGACTTACGGTGTTGGGTTTAGATTCGTAACTTTAAGCACTACAAAAACATAAGCAGTACATAAAGAGTATATTACCTGTACTTATAGGACATGATGAAGCCAATAGCTGTATATAGTGGCTGCATAACTTTTTTAAGAGATTGAAATATTTTATGTTTCATCGTACTACTGAATGCTTGAGAATGGTGCTTACCATTAAAAACAAAATTTTAGCTCGCAAAACTTAACTTCGCTTTCAGTTATTTTCGGTACCAGCCAAAGTAGTGACGTAGGTTTTTTTTTATTGTTTTTTTTTAATGTATTTAAACGCTTATTACAAAAAAAGTGTTTTAGAATTATTTTTTCCCTTATAGTCTTTTTTAACAAACAATTTTCTGCCACTTCTTAACGCACTTGTGAGCATTGTTGTGTGCAAGATGATTGGGCAATCGCTTGATATTAATTACGTTGTTATCTCCCCTTTTTAAAACTTAAGAACATTTCAAATTATACTTTAATGACTAATTGTTTTTTTCTAATTAGATTAAGCATTAGATGAGCGCCTCTTGATTTGCCACAATCCACAAACAATCAATCATAAACCAACAAAGAAACATACAATTTTAACTAAATTAAATCTTACAAAAATAATGTTTTATTGAAAACACATTTCAAGGTTGTTTAAGTGTTTATTATAAACACCTCAGCGATAGCTATTACACTTGTAACTACTAGATGGGAAAATACATGTAAGTATTACACTTGTAACTACAACATTTGAAATGAAATGTAACCATTACAATTGTAACTACTAGATGGGAAATGACATGTATCTATTACACTTGTAACTACTACATCTGAAATGACATGTAACTATTACACTTGTAACAACAACATCTGAAATGACATGTAACTATTACACTTGTAACTTCCTTCCTTCCTTATACGGAAACCGGCTCAGAAGGTTCACTTCCATTAGCCAGGCAGGCCTCAGTGTGGCAAACCCTACCATAAGACCAAGTTTCCCACACATCGGTCGCTACTTCCGTCAGTTCTCACCGGGCTTTCCTTCCCCACCCACCAGACGCGGGACGTGGGGACGTCGTCTTACCGCCTGGTACCCGGCTTGGTCGTGGGGGGCGTTCGGCCATTTTTTTTCTTGAGCCTAGCGCATACAGCAGCTCTACTCGGCCAGATCAAAAACCTCTAGCTGCTGTTGGCTACCACTAGCCATTCCGCACCCACTAGGGGGGTCATGAGTTTGGTCCCACTAGTGGCACTCTTCCGAAGCAAAAGTCTAGCTTAAAAAATAATTGTCGAAAAATGTCCATGTTACACATAAAGGAATACGTTAAAACCATTATATGCTACATATTAATGACAGCAATAAATAAACCGGGAGTGATCTCCCCTAAACTATCTCGAATATTCTAATATAACACTACGTGGGAAGGCAACTCGGAATACAGACATGATTTTTGTTTATTTACACTTTTAAAAAATAGAATAGAATCTAGTAGAAAAAAAGAATTGCGCACCAGGCGAACGACAAAACAAAATGTGCATAATAGTGCGCAATATTATCAGTACTTTATAAATTTACATGCGTTTTTTGAGAAATTGAAAATCGCGTAAATTGGTACTTCCTGTCAACGGAAATTACTCAAAATTAAATAAAAGGTAGAGAATTGATCTTTTACTTACAAGTGAAATTTTATTTATCTATCTTAAATAGTACTCAAGTTATAAGCTTTTAAAACACGGGTTCCCAACCTGGGGGTCGCGACCCCCCTGGGGGTCGCGAAGGTCTTTCTGGGGGGTCGCCAACTGGTATACTAAACCTTAGTAATTTGAAACAAAACATAAATATTTAGTAGAATTTTTGAAATTCGGCTTCATTAACATCACTGGAAATGTAATAGAGAAGAAACAAAGCGCACTGTACAAAGTTGTTCACAGTCACGAATCTATGAAATCTTCAAAACTAAAACGTCATTTGAGACGAGTCATTCGGAACACACCAAAAAGGATATGGAGTTCTTTCGTCGGTAAGAAGTTAGTTGCAAACGCCAGAGACTTGATCGAATAGGAATTTTTCACCAGCATTAGTGCAAGCATCAAATGAAGTCGCGATAGAAAATGCCAAGCAAAAACAAAAAAAAAACAATAGGAGAAAATCTCATCAAACGCTGCATGTACGTAAATGTTAAATAACACATTTTTATTGAAATTAAGCTTTCACCATTGTTTGCTTTTCAAGTTGATAAATCAACAGACGTGAGTTCGTGTTCGCAGTTGCTGGTCTGTGTCTATATTCATGCGGATGATAGAAAAGAAGAGTTGCTATTTTGTGAAGATAGCATGGAGAAAATAAATAGGTTTTTTTTTTTAAACGGGATGATTAAAATGGGTTAGAACGGCTGTGGGTGTTTGTACGGATGGTGCGACATCTATGTTTAGCTCAAAATCGGGCTTTCAGAAAACAGAAAAAAAATTAGCTCCCTAACCACTGCTCTAACCAATCGACATCAAGAGTCCATTGCTAGTATAAGTCGTAAATTATATAAAATCTGGAGCCTTCAAAGAACTGAGCAAAAACATTAATATAGATCACGAGGTTCTGCTCTTCTACACTACAGTACGCTGGCTGTCAAACGAAATGTTGTACATTGTGTTTTTGAATTGAAATCTGAAATCAAAATGTTCTTGGAATTGCAAAGGAAACAAGACTTTTTGGTATACTTAAAACGACATAGAGTGGTTGGAGAGAGTAACATACCTAGTAGATGTGTTCGAACATCAAGATAAGCTTAACCTGAAGCTTCAGGGAAAATGAACGAATATTATAACTTTCCATGATAATCTCGGGGCATTTTTATCAAAGCTGCAAAATCGGTAAAGAAAATAAATCTTGGAAATATCGTAAATTTGAGAAAATCTGCGGTGTGGTAGATGGATCTGATTGTGAGATAATTAAAATTTTGAAAGAAGCGATTTCTGGATATCTTGAATCTCTTGAAAACGCTATTTCTCTGAGCTGAAAAAAAGAAGAATCTGCATTTACGCATTACCCATTCTCTTCTTCCCTTGATGTTACCAGCATTCCCGATGAATTACAAGATGATTTCTTTGATTTGCAGAATGATTCCGAGTAAGATGAAAAACTGCAGAAACAATTTTGGTGTAGTATTCACCATTCATACCCAAACGTAAAATTGATTGACTTTTCGAGAATATATTTACAATACTATTCTTCCATTAAAAACAAAATTAAGATAATTATAATGACATAGGTTGGCGTTAACAATTATTTTAAAAATTAAAAAACTTAACCACGAAGGCTTAGTGAATAGTATGCAATTTTACTCATGCTATTAAAACAGTTAGTAGTTCATATTGAAAGTCTACTAGAAAATCTTATTTTAGTGCTTATTAATTTCCATACTAATTTCGGCTTTTTAATTCTATGGGGGTCGCGGGTCACTAAATTTTTCTAAAAGGGGGTCGCCACTCGAAAAAGGTTGGGAACACTGTTTTAAAAGATTCAAAGTTAAAAAAAAGTACCACTTCCATTTATCGGAAATCGCTCAAAAGTTGATACGTATCTACGATTTTAATAAAATACTTAGATATAAAATTTCATCAACCTAGCTGTAACGGTACTCAAGTTATCGTGTTTACACACAGACAGACAGAAAGACACTCACACAGACATACCGACAAGATTGCAAAATTATGTTTTTCCGTATCAGTGAGGTGTAAAACGTCGAGGTTTGCAAAAATCTCAATTTTTATTTTTGCACGACTACAAGACTTTCTCTATATTTCGTAAATACGAGAAAGTAAAAAGAACATGCATTGTTATTTAATAAATATTAATTTGCATTGAAATTAAAAATAATAAAAATATTGATATTTTTAACCATCAAACAAATAGAAAATATTTGTACACCGATAACCAAATAGCAAAGTTACATCATACCGATAATCCAAATAGAAAATTTACATTATACACATAATCAAATAGAAAAATTACATTAAACCGATATTCGAATAGAAAAGTTACAGTATACCGATAATCCAAGTAGAAAAGTTACATTATTCCGATAATCAAATGAACGGTTATAAAAGTTTAAAATGTACTTTTAAAATTTACCTCTAGAAAATTGAATTAATACCGAAATGAGGTCATTCTAGATCAGATTCTGCCGATTCTGGATAAATCGGAGTCAATGGCCACAATGGCGCATAACCAGTTGACACGTAACGCTTAATTGTGTTGGAGGCGTGGTCGAGTCGGCAAAAAGCTAATGGTTGATAAATTCGAACAAAGTCTCGAGTTCAAACCCACTGGCAGATAAATCTCGATCCCCTTCAACACTAATAATTAAGATTGAAGAAGAAGAAGAAGAAAGACATTTTTCGTTGCCGGTTCAATTTGAAGTTGAGGTGGGGATTTTGGTTTTGGTTTCCATTGAGAGAAATAGACAACACTATCAACCTAGCGTCTTGCTGTATTTCTAACTCAACAGGTTATTTATAGAGGTTTCGAAAATACAAACATTTATTTAAAACTTTCTAGTGATTGATGAAAAGCAGCTTTTAAAAAATGTTCACGCCACACACCTTATTGCACGGAATTGCACCATGTAATAGATTATAGACGGAAGCAATTTTATAAAAGCTCATAACATCAACAATAAAATAAGCTGACCGCCTTTTTTCTGTAAATTTACTTAAACTTTGATTAAAAAATTAACATGTTTAAAAAAACTACTATAGCTAGCACAGTCCTTTTGGCATTGGATCAGACCAAAGAGAAGTATGTCGTAACTTTAAACAAGCCATCAAAGGTGCCGTTTCTGACGAGCCTGTTACCTCAAGAAATCCTTATTAAAATATTTAGCTATTTTAAGCTAAAGGACTTGGTAAAACTATCTAGTGTGTGTAAGTCATGGCGCGACTTAATCCACGGCACACCACAATTTTGGTGGAAAGCCCACCTAATACTACCATGTAAAAAACAATCCCAGCTTAGACAAAACTCTTACTTGTTCGCCAAACTTTACGGAAGCCGGTGCCGGAATTTGGTGATCAGCTGTAAGCACCGGTTGGACTGTCTCGGCAGCTGTCGGACAATGATCGTCTATTTAAGAAAACTCCTATTGCTTCTTCATCCGCAAACTTTGACGTCATTTAAAATATCTGACGCACAGATAGGTTGCGAAAGAGAGTCCGTTAGATCAAGCATCCTTCAAATTCTGATAGGCATGCTGTCCAGATTTGACCGTCTAGAATGTTTCGCGATGCCTTCAGCTGAATTTACTTACCCTGAAGGCATTAAGGTGCTCAAAACAGTAACTTCAGCGTCCAAAGAATCCCTTCAATCTTTACTAATTGAAGGCTTTTTCCATACACCTGACGAAATAATTATGGGAGAACATGTAAGTTTTGATGGCGTGACGAAATACATCCTCTCTCTCAACAACTTGAAAAAGCTGGGGATCGACTTCTTTATTCTGACCGATGATTTTGTCAATGCGCTGTCTACCTCAAGTGCTAAGTTAGAAAAATTGAAAATTAATGCAAGTTTCATCAGCTTTTCTACAAAGAATATATCGCAAATATCGTGGTTAAATTTGGTAAGCAAATCTCTCTATTATCCAGGACATAATTAAAGTATTTACGGTAGTTTGCGATTAAGATAAAATACCTCTAGCACAGACTCACTATACCGGTTTTATTACGTTACACCTAGTCAGTTAACCCCCTTGATCAGTTAATTGACCCCAGGCATCAGCCAACTCAGTTTGATCTAATGCCCCACCCCCTCTCGTCCCATACATTCCCCTCTCGAGATACTGTATACAGCAAAGTGAGAAAACCAGGGTTCCGTAGAAGGTCGAAATGGACCTACAGAAATCCTTACGGATTTTGCCTAAACTTTCTAGAAGTTGCCATGCGGCAAGCTTGATCAATCCAGAATGCGTGCGCCCTCATGTATTTTTTAAATCATAACCCTAGCCCATGTCTTAGATTTAGCCCTAACCCTTGCCTTTGGTTAAGTTTAAGCTACTATGTTAAGAGAGGTGGAGAGGTAATATCGTAATGATATTAAAGGGCAGGGGTATAATATAAGCGTAGTTGGCATTACGATAATAAGCAGAATATGAAACATTAGATAAGGTATGATGGAGTAAACAAAATGTCTGGCCTAGAGACGGCATAGTAGGGTAGGAGCGCGTATGAAAGCTAAAGGTCCACGGTTTGGACCCCTGGCAGACGAGATCTTGTTAGCTGGTGAAAGCAAACAATGGAAATAACTCTAAAATCAAACAACTTGCAGGTTGCCTTTATGTTTACAAAAATTATGGATGGAGAGATAGAGATTAAGTCAGACTGAACTGCAGTCAGTAAAAAATAACGATATATGTTTACACGAAATAATTTATTGTTGTAGAGAAAATCCCTTTCAATGTTACTATTAAGAACAATCATACAAAAAACACAACATGCCCATATTGTCAACTGTGCCATATTTAGGCGATTGCTGGAAAAGATTGTCTGTTTCTATTTACCCATGTGTGTCCCTAATATGAGCGAGATAGAAATTGACATATTCATTGTGTCATACTCAAAATACTGACACAACTGTGTAGTTTTAATGAAGCGGCTTAACAATCTGGCTTAAATGCATGGTAACCTAAGCATGCATCAGAGAATAGACGTAGAAGTATCATATTCACGTATCCTAAACCTTATAACAAAACACGTCCGTTCGTATAGGCCAAGGAACAGAAGTCTACATTACTCGTTCGCACATGAAAGGTATAAAACTACACAACCACGGCTATATTATCATTATTATAGATATACTTCGAAATAAATGGAGACCTTATGAAATAATACACAATATAATCTAAGGATCCTTTCTTTCTTTTAAAGCATTGCTAAAAGTTCGGTGGTATTAAAGCTGGACACTCGACAACGCGAGTTCGTTTCTAGTATTTAGTCTGAACGTAAAGCTTATCCTTACGCTGAGACAGAAACGCCCCCCCCCCTATTTCTTATTCTATAGCATTTTTACCAATTGCTTGTATATTGAAGTAAATTTTAATTGTTTGCATTTCTGCGAATTCTCACTAACAGCATTTTTATGCATCTGATGAATTGTACGAATTAAGAAATCAATGTATTTCATTTAAAGAATAACCTTTTTTATTTTCAATGGAACATTTACGTTTCTTAAGTCTTAAAATGAGCCTTTACATTTAAACAATTGAATTCTCTATCCTCTTAGAGTTTAGTACTGAATGTTGGGAGAACCGAATTCCGGGGAAATTTATAAGTAGCTTATTCGGTCTCTGTAGCAATTCGCCAAACTCTTTTCGGTACTTAAACGACGAAGCAGTGTGGGACACACCTTTTTTCCTGATAGAGGATAATTTGTTAGCCACTTATAGACGAGTTGTGTGGACGTTGCCACTCTGTTGCATATTGGCTTTGTAGGCAAAGCCAGTCTCTCGTATATGAGCCATGTGTGTTTTTAGGTTAAATTACATATAAAGGATACAATGACTCGGACTATATGCTATTTCAATTTTTCCCAACTTGGAGGGCAGAAATTCAACAACAAATTATAGTGTGTGTTGGTGTAGTTTCCCCAAGCCTGACTAAGTAGAAGAGAAAGTTTTGATGTATTTTATATGTAGTTCCTTTTTATTAAAAAAAATTTTCTATTTGACATCAACAGACCAAAGCATGTCCGAAAATGAAGGTCGAGATTTCTGTTGATAGTACAGTGGAGACCCCAACTATTTCTATCCCCATTCTATTGGAACCAGTGTTACCCATCAACAAGATCCGCTTGGAAATTAATGATTTATACTACCGCCATGCTCAACCGAAAATTGGGGCTGTACTGCAACATATCTCAAACCACTTCAGGTTGGTGAATCTTACATATTAAAGCGAACAGGTGACAAAATCTTGAGAAATAAGCGTTAAATTTCAATAGAATAAAAAAGTAAAAAAAAATGAAATGGACATAGACCCTGAACAAAATTAAGATGAAATGTTCAATAAACCGTATTATCTACAGTGGAAGTCTGGTTAAATTCGAGATGGACATAGATAATCGCGACGACCCAATTGACGGAGTCCTACAGATATTTGTCCAGAGCTGCCCACGTCTGCTGCATCTAACGGTAAGACGTCTGTAAGATTTAGAACACAGTTTCAAAACCTTAACACCAGGTTAAACGTTTTCTTCTCAAAGGTAGTCAACACGCTACAAGACTAAAACCACAAGAAAGATAAACAACATACAAAAAATAGATATTAAAAAAAACTATACCATTCAAATAGAGGCTATCACGTAATACATAGATTAGCTTCATACAACATAAAGAGAATGACATAAAAACAAATTTAGATTGGTACACGCTACTTAAAGAGAGCACTACAAATATATGTAGAAAATAAGGAGCACCACAAAAACAGGCAGCACTACAAAAATAGGTAGCACTACAAAAATAGGTAGCACTACAAAAATAGGTAGCACTACAAAAATAGGTAGCACTACAAAAACAAGGAGCACTACAAAAATAGGTAGCACTACAAAAATAGCTAGCACTACAAAAATAGGTAGCACTACAAGAATACGTAGCACTACAAAAACAAGGAGCACTACAAAAATAGGTAGCACTACAAAAATAGGTAGCACTACAAAAATAGGCAGCACTACAAAAACAAGGAACACTACAAAAATAGGGAGCACTACGAAAATAAGTAGCACTACAAAAATAGGGAGCACTACAAAAATAGGTAGCACTACAAAAATAGGCAGCACTACAAAAACAAGGAACACTACAAAAATAGGCAGCACTACAAAAACAAGGAGCACAACAAAAATAGGGAGCACTACAAAAATACGTAGCACTACAAAAATACATAGCACTACAAAAATAGGTAGCACTATAAAAACAGGGAGCACTACAATAATTGGAAACACCACAAAAATGGAGCACGACAGAACATAACGCCACTCCCATAATTCCAGGTCTCGGCTCACTTTGCAAGTCCACATACGCAGCAACATATTTTGGACCTGATACAAGCCAGAAGACTCGAACAGCGTCAATGCCCTCGCAAGCCCCGGTCCTAGATTCGAGAACCGCCGCGAATTGGGAGTCCAGATTAGAGGCCAAGTCTAGTTAACTAACACCGTCAATATGTTGGCCTAGACACCCGGAAAAAAAATATGATTTATGTTAAAAATATTTTAACCAGCAGTAATAACTTTCCATCATGAAATACTTAAGCGAAAAGATTATTTCCATCTACGTAGTTATCTTTTGTGTCAGCTAATGCCATGTACATAATTAATTGACAAAGAATAAACATACAGAAAGTATAAACATCGACAAAATAAATTATTTTTAAAATTCGTGAATTTGTTGTTGTTTTTTTTTTTAAATTATAAACTTGGAAGACGAAACAAAAAGAAATGTTAAGTTTTTTAACAAAAAAAAAATTTCAAATTGGATTAGAATGACATAGGGTGGTAATTCGATAAAACTTCAATAGATCCCTATGTTGTGTGTTACGTTGTGAGTGCGCGGACTGATTCTAAAATTTAATAATGACACATGGGTCGGCGTGGTCGAGTCGTTAAAGCTCATAGTTGCTAAAACCGAAAAGTATCGAGTTCGAACTCTCGGGCAGATGAGGCTCGTTAGCATGAGACAGCCTCTTCTAGGAGAGACAACTCCAAAATCAAACAACTGCTGCCTTGTAGTTTGTTCTTGGTTGGACAAAGGCTATGGAAGCAAATCAAAAGAGAAAAGCAGGCTGAAATCGGAGTCAATGTCCTCAATGGCCTTAATGGCGGATAACAAGTTGACACGTATACTTAATTTTTTTGGGATCACTTCCAACACTAAAATTAAGAACGAAGAAGAATGGAGCGATTATTTGCAATGTTTTCAGATTAATGCACGTTATTTCAATATGATTATCTATTGTGTCTTTTAATTCCAAACTCAATTTAAGGCTTACCATAAGCAACAATAAAAGGGAGACAAAAATAATAACGATCACGGATTAGTCAGAAGAGTTTGTGTTCTCTAATGTTGATTACAAAGAAATAAAACAAACAACGGTCGCTAATAATCTGTAAATATGTGTGTGTTAGAGTTTTATTATCGCAAGCAATTATTTACTAGATTTTTACACAAGAATTTCCATTCAACTTTGAGGCGAGGGATGCAAGCAGCGATGAGAAGCTTAACTATATTGTATGTTTTGTTAACATTCGTTAACATTTTTATATGACAAAGATATAACGTTGATTTTGTAAGTATAAAAAATGTGTACGCACTATTATATTATATATTATAGCCTATATACCGACATATAAGAGATCTGTAGAAGACGGCACCTGATATTTGCAGCTACTACACAGAACTAGAAAGCTGAAGATAACCGTCACTTAAAACTACCCCGACAGGTTCCCAGCCTGTAGACACATGAAATACGATCGTTTTTTGCTTCCTCCCTCAGTGACAGTGTTTCTTCCACTTTGTTTTCAGAGGCGGGGGGCGCTTGAAATTTTCTTTAGGGGGGGGGGGAATGGTAAAAGTATATATTATCTATATAAATTCTTTGTTCAGGGGGGGGGGGGGGGCTAAAAACGTCTACCGCCCCGAAGAGATGCCTGAAAGAAACCCTGCTCAGTGCCCCACCTTATTCGGGTAAGAGTAACAGCTTGTTCAGGGGACGACTTAAGGTGTCGGGTTCAGATTCGTAACTTTAAGCACTACAAAAACGTAAGCAGTACATGACGTGTATATTACCTGTACTTATAGGATATGATGAAGCCAATAGCTGTATATAGTGACTGCATAACTTTTTTAAGAGATTGAAATATTTTATGTTTCAACGTACTACTGAATGCTTGGGAATGGTTCTTACCCTAAAAGACAGAATATTTGCTCACAAAACTAAACTTTGTGCTCCCTGTTTTTAGTCATTTAAGGCACCAGCCAAAGTTTTAACACAAGTTTCTTTTTTGTTTTGCTTTTTTCATGTATTAATTTATTTATTTAAAGTATAAGTAAACGCTTATTATTTCAAAGTTTTTTACATTTATTTTTTCACTTTTAATCATTCGTTCTTAATTAATTCGACACCACGTACGATTAAAAATATTTGCTTTTAAAGTTGATCAATATCGCTTTTAATAGACAGTTTACTGCCACTTCTTAACGCCCTTGTGACCAAGCTGAGAGAGCAATCGCTTGATATTGATCACGTTGTTACATCCCCTTTTTAAAAATTACGAAAATTTCAAATTATATTTTAATGACTAATTGTTTTTCTAATTAGATTAAATATTAGTATTTTTTAATTGTCATTGAAGAAGAGCGTATCTTGAAAGCTTTTGTTATTGATAGTAATGTGTAAATTAAGGTTTGATGACTACTGTAATATTTAATTTAAGCATAAGTTAAATGTATTTGCGTTATTCGGGGAAGGACACTTGATTTGTCACACTCCACCAACAAACAACAACAACAAAAAAAAACATACAATGTTAACTAAATAAAAGCTTATAAAAATAATGTTTATTTAAAAACACATTTCAAGGTTGTTTACGTGTTTATTATAAAACCACAGCGACTGATATTACACATATAACTACTACACGTGAACTAAAATGTAAATCACTGGTAACTTTTAAATGTGAATATGACATGTAACTATTACACTTCTTACTACTACATGTGAAGTGATATCTAACTATTACACTTGTAACTAGTAAATGTGAAATGAAATGTAACTACTACACGTGTAACTACTACATGTGAAATGACATGTAACTATTAAACGTGTAACTACTACAGTTGAAATAACATGTAACTATTACACTTGTAATTACTACATGTGAAATGACATGTAACTATTACACTTGTAACTACTACATGTGAAATAACATGTAACTATTACACTTGTAACTAGTACATCTAAATTGACATGTAACTATTACACTTGTATCTACTAGATGGGAAATGACATGTATTTATTACTTTTGTACTGATGACATGTGAAACTGTGTCTTCTGTCCCACTGCCTTAAGCTATTGTGCACATCTATAACCTCTTTCTTAGGTTGACAAAGTTTTACAGGAGCAATTTCTTTATAACTTTCAATGTAAGTAAATATCATTGAACAACCCAAAATATATGCAATGTTACATTTGTATTCTACACGAGCCGACCCGCGGCGTAGCAAACTCCGCTATTTAGTTGTTTTATTTTCTACTTTTAAGTAATTCATAATTTGTGAACTCGACACTACCAATGCTAAGACTGAAAATATTTGCTTAAAAACACTATAAGTAGCTCGTGAAGGACGATTATCCCCCCACCCCTGAATACAGCCTCCCCTTAGTTACCTCCCCTTAGTTTAAAGTCATTTAAAAACTAAATTATCTGCCCTTATAGGGCTGGTACGTAGGTCATTAAATAGTTCTATGGCTCATGGAGGTTTTATTGAGCCGTAGAACTGGTTGGTGACCTATTTACCAGCCCTACAGTCGTAACTAATTTGAACCGGGTCTAGGATTGTAAACATTCGGCGTGAACCACAGCTCACTAGACTGGAGAGCAAGGGAGGGGGCGGGAGGAGGGTTACGTAGTCGGCTTGCGTTGTGGTGTCCACGAAGAGAATTATATATATAGATACAATAAAAAAGGAGGATTGTATCAACAGCCAAATAGAAAAGTTCTATTATACCGATAATCAAATAGATAAAAGTTATAAAAGTTAAAATTTACTTGTAAAACATTTACTGCTAGAATATGTTATTGCATACAAAAATATTTTAAAAAACAATGAAAACAAAAAAAACGATGTTTAAAAAAATTAAAATTACTTATACAAAAGTCTAGCTTAAAAAATAATTGTCAAAAAATTTTCATGTTACACATAAAGGAATAAGTTAAAATCATTACATACCACATATTTATGACAGCAATAAAAAAACGCACATGCATTGCAATGTAATAAATATTAATTTGCATTGAATTACAAAATATTTAAAATATTGATATTTTTTTACCATTTAACAAATAGAAAATATGTGTATACATTGAACTATCTGAAAAAAACACTAATCATGCTGCACTAAGTAATAGATACATAACGTTTGACTGAATCAAAACATTTAGATTTTATTTAATCAAATAATCAGACAGAAAAGTTACATTATACTAATAATCAAATAGAAAAGGTATACATGTTTAAAATTTGCATGTAAAAATTTACTGCTCGAAAATGTTATTGCATACAAAAAGATTTTTAAAAATTATGAAAAACCAATAAACAATGTTTAAAAAATATTTAATTTCTCATACAATAGACTAGCTTAAAAATAATTTTCGAAAAATGTCCATGTTACACATAAAGGAATAAGTTAAAATCATTTTATACCACATAGTTATGACAGAAATAAAAAAGAACATGCATTGCAATGTAATATATATTAATTTGCATTGAATTTCAAAATATTTAAAATATTGATATTTTTTTACCATTTAACAAATAGAAACTATTTATATACATTAAACTATCTGAAAAAACACTAATCATGCTGCACAAAGTAATACATACATAACGTTTGATTGAATCAAAACATTTAGATTTTATTTAATCAAATAATCAAACAGAAAAGTTACATTATACTAATAATCAAATAGAAAAGGTATACATGTTTAAAATTTGCATGTAAAAATTTACTGCTCGAAAATGTTATTGCATACAAAAAGATTTTTAAAAATTATGAAAAACCAATAAACAATGTTTAAAAAATATTTAATTTCTCATACAATAGACTAGCTTAAAAATAATTTTCGAAAAATGTCCATGTTACACATAAAGGAATAAGTTAAAATCATTTTACACCACATAGTTATGACAGAAATAAAAAAGAACATGCATTGCAATGTAATATACATTAATTTGCATTGAATTTCAAAATATTTAAAATATTGATATTTTTTACCATTTAACAAATAGAAAATATTTGTATACATTAAACTATCTGAAAAAACACTAATCATGCTGCACTAAGTAATAGATACATACCGTTTGATTAAATCAAAACATTTAGATTTTATTTAATCAAATAATCAAACAGAAAAGTTACATTATACTAATAATCAAATAGAAAAGGTATACATGTTTAAAATTTGCATGTAAAAATTTACTGCTCGAAAATGTTATTGCATACAAAAAGATTTTTAAAAATTATGAAAAACCAAAAAAACAATGTTTAAAAAATATTTAATTTCTCATACAATAGACTAGCTTAAAAATAATTTTCGAAAAATGTCCATGTTACACATAAAGGATTAAGT